ACGGGGCTGGCGGCGGCCGTGCCCCGGAAGTGACGTGCGCTCCCGGTGCCGGGTCAGGCCGGGTCCCCGACAGAGACAGGAGACAGCGGCGGCGGCAGCTCACGTTTATTGCCCCGTGCCCCGCGCGGGTAACGGGCACGGGGAGACCGGACGGCTCCCGCCGCGCTCGGAGGGGAACCCCAGGGAGCCCCGTCTCGGCGGTGTGCGCTGCCGGTGCACCGGGCGGCCTCCCGCGGCGTCCCCGCCTTCATAGCTCGTCCTGCGGGAGGGAGGGGAGAGGTGCCAGGGAAGGACAGCACCGGCACCGGGCGGACGGCCCCGGGGGGAGCACCGGGGAGCCCCGGGCTGCCCAAGGAGAGCAGCTGGAGCCGCCGCCGGTGGCCCCGGGGCCAGCAGAGGGCTGAGGCTGGGCTCGGCGGGGGCTGCTGCAGCACCGGGGAAGCAGCCGGTGGCAGTACTTACATCCAGGTCGTCCATGGCCGGTGGGGAGCCTTTGTCCGTCACCTTCTCCAGGAGCTGGACGGGAAACAAACGGCTGTGGGGATGCCCGGGTCCCCCCCATCCCAAACACCCACCCCACACACCCCACACACCCCCCGGGGACCCGGGTCACCGGCCCCCAGCTCACCTCTGCGTACTGCTCCACCATGGCCCTCTCCACCTCCTCGTCCCCTTCCCAGTCTCGCCAGTTGTCGAAGTCCACGGAGAGCCAGGCGGGCTGCGGGCACAGAGAGCATCCCCTGAGGGAGGAGCAGCACCGAGGGGACCGGGCACCCCCATCCTGGTGCTGGTCCCAGTCCCAACCCTGCCTGTGTCAAGGGAAAGGGCTGCCCTGTTGTCCCGGTTTGAGGTAAAACCGGATCAATTTTGTGTTCTGTAACTTTGCATTTTAGTTAGGCCATCCCAGAGGGCAGAGGTCCGTGAACTGGAGGTGACTGGGAGCTCAGGCTCTTTGGGAACTCTGTGTTGGGATGTCCCAGGTGGTCCCCAGGAGCCCAAAGTGTGGTGTGGGGATGGCACACGCACTACAGGGCCCACACGCACCTTGATGTTCTCCTTGGTGATGCGGGGCCAGGCCACTTTCTCCTTCCACTTCCTCATGAAGCACGTAATGGAGCGGTCAGAGCGCTTCTCCCGTGAGTCCTGCCAACAGATCGGGGGTGTCTCACCTCTGTGTCCACCCAAGTCCCCTGCAATCCACTGCAGACACACATAGGATTCAAACTGAGGCATGTGCAGGCTGTGGGACACACAGACCCATGGAGACAAGCTCCTTCTGGCCCCAGGCAGCACTGGGAGTGCCAGGCCCAGGGTCAGGGATTGCTCTCACCCCACTCAGGCTCTGGGAAAAGGGGCAGGATTCAACACAAAGTGGTGTTGTCCAACCTGCACAGCCTGGGTTTAACTCCGTGCCTGACACAGGCTCTCGGTTTTAAATGGGAAGAAAAAAGATTCAGATTAGATCTCAGGAAGAAATTTTTTACTATGAGGGTGGTGAGACACTGGAACAGGTTGCCCAGGGAAGCTGTGGCTGCCCCATCCCTGGAAGTGTTCAAGGCCAGGCTGGATGGGGCCTTGAGCAACCTGCTCTGGTGGGAGGTGTCCCTGCCCAGGGCAGGGGGGTTGGAACTCGATGATCTTTGAGGTCCCTTCCAACCCAAACCATTCTATGATTGATTCTATGATTTATGGGGGGAAACCTCACCTTGGAGTTGACCCTGGCGTACAGGTCGATCTCGTTGTAGAACTCCACGCCGTCTGCGTTTTTGCAGCTGCCAAAACACCGCAACAGCCTGGCTTAGGGAGGGCTGAGGCCACTCCGTCCTCCAAGCCACCCCCGGTTGGGGGCCGTGTCCCGGTCGGCGGGGCAGGCTCACCTGAACACCAGCCGTTGGTCCTCAATGACGACCTGAACATCCCTGCTGTCCTCCACGCAGAACTCCAGGTAGACGTACCGGGGCCGGTCGTACCACAGCGTCTTGGCCGGTTGCCTGGGGAAGGAGCGGAGCAGCGGGTGGGCGTGCGGTGCCAGCAGGGCCGCGACCGGGCACCGGGGCTCGGAATGAGCCCCCCAGCGTGTGCCCCAGCCCTGCCCTCGCCCTCCGTTGTCGTTCCCGGTGCCACCGCCCCGCTCCC